GAGATTGGAGGGATATTAATCTGAGTATTCTATTGTTGTAACAAGTCTCGACCCCACAGGTTCATAGCTATGTTAGCCATATATGGTTTTAATTTTCCTTTCTGTCCTTCTGGACCTATACATTCAAGCCATCTTACACTTTGTTTCACTCTAGATAATGTCCCAATTCCTAAGAGTTGAATGTTTACCTCCTGAAGAGGCCAAGTTGGATGCCAAAATTCTGGTGCAATTATGGTAATGTCAGCACCTGTGTCTACCAGACCAGACAACAAAACACCATTTATTTTTATTGTTAGTTTTGGTCTTTGTTCATTAATAGAAGTTTGCCAAAAAATTTTCTTTATGTTTTTTTCCTGTATTTCCTATTTTCTCTGTTTCATCATCTCGACTAACATGATTTATTCCAATAGACATTTGGTTATTTAGTTGCTTTGAGTAGGGGTTTCCTCTACAACTGCAGGAAAGGTTTGAACTGGATTTACTGTGGGGGGCTGCCTGAGGCCCCTCTGGGAGTTTCCCGAAGCTCGAGGCAGAGGGTTACCCTGTCTGTCCCTTGTTGATCTACATTCGTTGGTCCAGTGTTTTCCCTTACCACACCTTCTGCATACTCCAGAAGGAAGGGACATTCTGTTGCCAGTGTTCCTTGAAGAAACATTATTTCTAGGAATGACCTGTTTACAACCCCTTTTCAAATGTCCTTGCTTTCCACATCCAAAACATCTAACATTGCTCAAACCTTTTGAAATTGCTTTTCCTACCCACATATCATCATGATCATAAGCCTCTACATTAACTGTATCTCTAATCCAATCTTCCAAAGGTGCAGATCTTGCCTTTAACGGCCTGATTATTCTTTTGCACGCTGCATTTGCATTCTCAAAGGCTAAAGATTCAATTATTATCTGACTAGCCTCTGAATTCGGGACCATTTTTTGTACTGCTGAAGTCAATCTTTGTAAGAAATCTGTGAAAGATTCTTTGGGGCCCTGTATAACCTTTGTAAATGACTCAGTTTTTTTTCCTGGTTCTTCAACTCTGTCCCATGCATTCAAAGCTGCCGTTTTACATAGAACTAGGGTTTGGACATCATATGAACATTGTGTTTGTACTGAAGCATATTGGCCTTCGCCAATAAGCTGATCCTGGCAGACTTGTATTCCGCTATCCCTCCATTGTCTTTCTATATTTTTAGCCTCATTACTGAACCACATTTTCCACTGGAGATTTTGTCCGGGTTCAAGAACAGCCTGTGCCAATTCCCGCCAGTCCTTTGGTAGAATCCTATTACAAGTTGACCAGGTGTTTAACATTTGCTTTACATATGGGGAGTGCATGCCATAAGATGCTATTGCCTCCTTAAATCTTCGTAAGTCTAACATTTCAACTGGAACCCAAGTATTTTGTTCATTCTCTTCATCAGGTAGCTGCTGTACGGCTACTGGATAAATTAAGGGTGATTGTGTGAAAACTGGCTTTCTTTCTGTAACCTTATGATCCAATTTTGAAACAACTTCACTATTTCTTCTGTCTGAATTTGAATTTCTCTATAATTCATTTTTACCGGTTTAACAAGTTTTTCTAAGACTGTTATCCTGGCACTTAAGTTGACGATCTTTTTAAATAGTAAAATGAGGATAAGAAAAGTAATAAACTGAATAATTCGATCAATATTAATCTTTTCATATAGTTGTTCCATTGTCAGAGTGCCTAAAATTTCAAACAAAGCCCAATTTTCTTCCAATGTACACATAAAGCCCATTTTTTTTTTAATGTAGAAAAAAATTCTCTTTTAAATAGATATGTTAATTGACTTACCAAGTCTGGGTAGAACAGTAGAATCCCAGGGAATTTCACAGCCACCTGGTGTTCGAGGTGTGAATCCAGCGAGAGAGAGAGAGAGAGAGAGAGAGAGAGAGAGAGAGAGAGAGAGAGAGAGAGAGAAAAGTGTAGCCGCTTGAGCCGAGTCAAGCCTTGGCTTTACAGGCAGGGGCCCTGTTCAGCAGGGCAGGTCTGAGTTGTTTGTAGCAGTTGCAAGTAGCTCCAGCTGCGGGTCAGTCAGGCCTGGGCCCAAGCTAGGCAGCCGGGCCGCCCAGGCTGGAAACCGGACCTGCCGCCAAGCCAAGCCAAGCGGTTTTTAATGAATTCTTGTCACGTTGGGCGCCAAATGTAGATGTATCCAACCTTCTTATTAAATAAGAAACACAGAACCAATGCAAAGAAGAAAGCCAAGAGGTCAGAGCTAAGAGCTAAAACCTTACCCTTCCTCCTGCCCACCGAACCAGAGCTACCCCTGTGTTAAAGTCTTTATATAGAGTTCCTGTCCTGCCTTCTCATTGGTTGTAAACCCAACCACATGACCGCCTCCTCACAGCCTGTCTGTATAGGCCTCCAGGTTTTCCATGATTAGTATTAAGATTAAAGGCATGTGTATCCAATAATGGCTGTATCCCTGAACACACAGAGACTTACCCAGCTCTGCCTACCAAGTGCTGGAATTATAAGCGTACGCTACCACTGCCCTGCTTTCCTATGGCTTGCTAATAGCTCTGACCCCCGGGCAACTTTATTTATTAACATACAAATAACATTTTAATACAAATAAAATATCACCATAGTACCCAGCTTAGGTAGTTTAAAAAATAGTGGTAGCAAGCCACAAAAATAAGAAAACCTACTTTTGGTAAGGTCTGGGTGAATTTGTCCCCGGGTGACTTCCATGTACCAGTAGGACATGAGAATATGCCACAGAGATACCTGGAGAAAGGACATCTGTAGAGCAGTCTGGGCTGAGTGATGGGCATGGGACTCAGAGTGGCAGAGTAGGCAAGATGGAAAAGGGTGCTGGACCCGGGGAAGCCTGGTGGAACCTTGTCCCCAGGTCTAAAGGGAGCCTTAGCAGTTTACTCCCAGTCCCTTTACTGCACAGGTAACTCTGACCTAGATTCTGATGGGAATAGTTGTTATGATAGATTATGTGGGGACCCCGAGGGTATCCCACGCATGCAGAGAAGCATGCTGGCATGCTGGGCAGATGCAGCAGTGGGCTGGCGGGCAACCCACTCCATGCGGGCATGCCAGAGGGACGGCAGGTGGACATTCACAACCCAGATACTATATCCTCGAGGAAATGGTTTATTATAATAGACGGAGAGAAGATAGGAAAGAAGGAAAGAGGAGAGAAGAGAGAAACAACGGGGGGGGGTAGAGGAGTACACGCCTCATGAGAGTGGAGAGAGACAGAGACAGAGAGACAGAGAGACAGAGAGAGAGGAAGGTGTGGAGTTTTTCCTTAAGAAGAGGCTTCTAAGTCAGGACACAGGGTGGCCCCAAGGGGCAGGATTTCAAGGGAGCAGGTCAGAATATTAACAATAGTTGTCTATGGTTTTTTGTTTGTTTGGTTCTTTGTTTTTCAGGAACTCGGCAGCCACTCAAACTGGTTGAAACCACCAGTCCTTCCCCTCGGCCTGTACAAGTGTCCCGTGGGTGACCTTTGAATCTGGACCAAACTCCACACAACAGGAAAACTGTGGAATTTTCAGGGCAGGTATCCTGTGATGATCTGGGTAGTCTGATAACCCCTGTGCAGAACACAAATCATTCACATCTTTTCCCCCAATTGCTTTCTCTACAGCTCAAGCCATCCGGTCTAGGGAAGGCAGGTTTTTTTTTGGGGGGGGACCTCTGTCTTATATTTGGGTGCTCCATGAATAAGCTTTTTCTTTTTCCAAAACTCATAATTTCAGTGTTATTGGCATAACACAGTGAGCCAAGCAGACGCTACTTGGTAACAATATGATCAGATAGAGAAGGACCAGGGCCAGCAAGGTGCCCCCCAGTATTTGGGAGGAAGAGGGCAGAGGATCAGATCCAAGGTCCTCCAGGCCATAATGAATTCAAGGCAGCATTGGCTACAGGAGACCCAGTCTCAAAGCAAAAATCTCACTAAAAACAAATAACTCACTTTTTAAAAAAGATTTATTTATTTATTATTACATATACAGTGTTCTGTCTGCATGTATGCCTGCAGACCAGAAGAGGGCGCCAGATCTCACTACAGATGGTTGTGAGCCATCATGTGATTGCTGGGAATTGAACTCAGGACCTCTGAAAGAACAGCCATTGCTCTTAACCACTGAGACATCTCTCCAGCCCAAATAACTCACGATTTCCCCCTGATACAGGGTTTCTCTGTGTAGCTTTGGAGCACTCACTCTGTAGCCCAAGCTGGCCTTGAACTCACAGAGATCCGCCTGGCTCTGCCTCCCGAGTGCTGGGATTAAAGGTGTGCGCCACCACCGCCCAGCCATAACTCACTTTTTAAAAAGTTATTTTTCAGTCAAGAGTGGTGGCACTGTGGAGGGCCCAAAGTAGCTTGACCACATGCTTAGGGGCCCAGACACAGCTGCCATGACAGGCTTACTGGCAGGTACCACCCAGTCCCCAGAAAAAGCCATAAACTGACCCCATCCAGGGAGGGCCAGCATCTAAGGGGAAATATCTGACATTCCAAACATTTTCAGCACACACACCTATACCCCTAGACCAATGTCAGCCAATCAAGGTCCTGAACCTGGAAATCCCTCACCCCCTACCTCTACTATGAGTGCCTGGGCTTGGCACTCTCCGACAGTGATCACACCACTGCGTCGGACACACGGAGGGTCCAAGCTCCAACTTGCTTGAATAAAGGTTCTTTGCTTTTACATACAGGATTCGGTGTCTGCGGTGGTGGTCTTTTGGGGGTTCCTGAGATCTGGGTACAACAGCACATTCCTATAATCCTAGCACTTGGGAGGCAGAGGCAGGCAGATCTCTGTGAGTTTGAGGCCAGTCTGGTCTATAGAACAAGTTTCAGGACAGCCAGGATTATATAAAGAGACCCTGTCTCAAACCCCACCCTCCTAAAAAATTGTAGGGATAACGCCTGCGCTATCACCACCCGTTCACCATGTCCGAGCGAGGGGCTGTGGATTAAAAAATAAGGGACAAGAGACAGCGAGTCATTCGCCAAGGCTGAATGCCGAGTGCCAGCCGAATGCCGTTTATTGAAAAAGGGAGGAAACCTTAAATACAAGCTTACAGCACAATGGCGGATCCCCGGAGGGCAGAAGTTCGCTACATTTTTGCATCTAAGCTGTTTACACCAAATGCAGGATACAGGAACAAAGAACCTCCGGTAGAACGTTAGGTGAGAAGGAAACCGGCAGGGAATCTGAATAGGGAGGACATCTGGTCAAGGTCGGCAAGCAAGGCAACAGCCACTCACAGTGGGGGGCCAGGGCCCACAAAAAATGAAAGAAGAGCACCCACTGCTTTTGCAGAGAACCTGAGTTGAGTTCCCAGTTCTCACATCCATCAAGTAATTTACAACAGGCTCACAACTATAACTCCAGTTCCAGGGGATCAGACATCCTCTTCTGGCCCCTGTAGCCAACACACACACAGAGTTTTGTTTTGTTTTTTTGTTTGTTTGTTTTTGGAGAGATGGCTCAGCAGTTAAGAGCACACATAGACTTTTTATTTTATTTTACTTTACTTTTTTTTGAGACAGGGTTTCTCTGTGAAACAGCCCTAGCTGTCCTGGAACTCGCTCTGTAGACCAGGCTGGCCTTGAACTCACTGAGATCCACCTGGCTCTGCCTCCCAAGTGCTAGGATTAAAGATGTGTGACACCACCACCCCACCCCCCACTCTCTCCCCGGCCACACAGACTTTTTAAATAAAGATGTTACTTTTAGGATCTGGAGAGATGGCTCAGCCTGCTCTTTCAGAGGACCTGAGTTCAGTTCCAGCATCCATGTCAGATGGCTTACCTGTGCCTGCAGCTCCAGGGAATTGATGCCTTCTGAACTCTGAGATCAGTCACCTCTCACACACAGCATACCTTCACATAGACAGACACAAGCAGGTGAATTAAAATTAAAATGAATCCGCTGGGCAGTGGTGGCGCACGCCTTTAATCCCAGCATTCAGGAGGCAGGCGGACCTGTGAGTTCGAGGCCAGGTTGTTGTACAGAGTGACTTCCAGGACAGCCAGGGCTGTTTCACAGAGAAACCCTGTCTTGAAAAACCAAAAGATAAAATAAAATAAAGAAAGAGAGAGAGAAAAAATATGTAAAAGTTAATCTTACTAGATTTTATTTTTAATTGTTAATTAGTTACAGGCAGTTGTGAAATTTGCCAAACTTTGGCCATCTGCAATAATATAAGCGCTTAAGTGCCAAAGCTTAGCAGCTAAACCATGTCTCCATAGCTCTGTGTTTTCCTTTTTTTTTTTTTTTCGTTTTTCGAGACAGGGTTTCTCTGTGTAGTTTTGCGCCTTTCCTGGAACTCGCTTGGTAGCCCAGGCTGGCCTCGAACTCACAGAGATCCACCTGGCTCTGCCTCCCAAGTGCTGGGATTAAAGGCGTGCGCCACCACCGCCCGGCTTGTTTTCCTTTTTGAGACAAGGGTCTACCTATGGAGCTCTTGTTGTTCTGGAACTCTCTATGTAGAACAGACAGACTGGCTTCGAACCCACAGAAAACCCCCTGCCTTTGCCTCCGGAGTAGTTGGAATCAAGGAGTGTGCCACCATGCCTGGCCAAATTCCGCAGTTTTAGTCAGGTGAAGAACGTTCATCTTTTTTTTCCCCTTGGGATTATTTTCTTACGGATGCTCTCTCCCACCCAGCACCATCAGCTCGGCAGGCCATTATGAGCCACAGCTCCAAGCCCCAAGCCTACAAAAGTGGGAAAGCAGAGACGGAGGAGGGGGTGGGGCGTGAGGTGCGCGGGGCCTCCTGGGACTTGTAGTCCGCGGCCTGCGAGGCGCATGCTCTGACGTGCTAGGGCTCCTGCGGTTGCCATGGTTTCTCTGAGCCGAGGTGGGTGGCGCAGCTAGACGCGGGCGGGCTTTGGCGGCGTCGCGCGCGGAAAGCGGAAGGCATCACGCGGTGGGTCGAGCGGTCTACTGTGGGGAGCAGGGCGCGCTGGAACCCGGACCGCCTCTTCCCCTGGAGCACTGGCTGCGGACTCTTCTTCCCAAACCCCTTACGCGCGGTGAGGAGAGGGGCGCTCTCGGCACCCGGTTTCCGGGACGGAACTAACCAGCTTGACCGCTAGTGGCAAGCCCCCAGGCCTCCCGTCCTGGAAGTGGCGGAGCCGGAGTTAAAGTCTGGACCTGCCTGGAAGTCTCAAAGACTGTTCTTTTGGATTTTGTTTGTGTTAAGGCCGGGTGTCACTCTGTAGAGCAGACTGGTCTGGAACTCGGGAGATCCGCCTGCCTCTCCCTCCTGAGTGCTGGGATTAAAAGCGTGCGTCTTGGCCAGGTTTGGCTTGTTTTGTCTTGAAACAGAGTCGCACTTCATAGTCCAGGTTGACCTGGAGCTCACGATGTAGTTCAGGCCGGCTTAGAACTCGGGGTGCTCCTACTTCTTAAGTCTGGAGAGTGTTAGTATTACAAGTGTGTGCCACCGTGCTTCGCTAGATTACGTATTAACAGGTCCCTGGAAGAAGATAATACACAAACTACAATTTACAGCAGTGGTTCTCAAGCTTATCGGCACATTAGAATTATCTGGGGTGCTTTTAAAAATCAGTGTAAATTTACCCGGGGTGCTGGTGGTGGTGCACGTCTTTAATCCCTACATGAGGGAGGCAGAGGCAGGGGATCTCAGTGAGTTCAAGGCCAGCCTGGGCTACAGGATGAGTTCCAGGAAAGTCGCCAAAGCTACACAGAGAAACCCTGTCTCGAAAAAAACAAAACAAAACAGAAAAACAAAAAATAGTATAAACTTAAAATGAAAAAAAAACATTTAAATAGTTAAATAAAATAGTATAAACCGGCCATAGTGGGGCAGGCCTTTAATCCCTGCACTAGAGAGGCGGAGGCAGGCGCATCTCCTTGAGTTTCAGGCCAGCCTGGTCTAGAGAGTGAGTTCCAGGAAGCCAGGACTACATAGAGAGATATCTTATCTCAAAATAATTAAAAAATAGGATACCTTTCGGGGTGTGGTGGTACCCATCTTGAATCCCAGCACATGTGAGGAAGAGGCTTGTGGATCTTTGTGAGTTCCAGACCAGATTGGTTTACATATCAAATTCGGGCTAGTCAGAGCTATATAATGAGACCTTAAAAAAAAAAACCTGGTTGTGGTGGCGCACACCTCCCAGCACTTGGGAGGCAGCCTGGTTTACAGAGTGAGTTCCAGGACAGCCAGAACTGCACAGAGAAACCCCTGTCTCTAAAACAAGCAAACAAAACAACAAAACAAATAAAAAACCCTGGGCCTCTCCTCCCCAGCCAAATGAATCTAGATCTCTGGGATGTGTGGGATGTGGAGGCCAGGCAAAAATTTCCACAGGTGATTCCAGTGCACAGTGAGGCCTCTGGGCCACTGGTGTGGAGCTGAAGGGCATGGCAGAGGTGAGTTACATCTGTCTGTGTGCTTCTGCCCACAGTGAGCAGCCAGCCAATGTGGAACAATGGCACTGAGCCACTCCGTGAAGGAGCGAACCATCTCTGAGAACAGTCTGGTCATCCTGTTGCAGGGCCTCCAGGGCCAGATAACCACCGTGGACCTTCGAGATGAGAGTTCAGCCCGAGGACGCATTGACAATGTGGATGCTTTTATGAACATCCGCCTGGCCAATGTCACCTATACTGACCGCTGGGGACATCAGGTTGAGCTGGATGACCTCTTTGTGACAGGTCGTAATGTCCGATACGTCCATATCCCAGATGACGTGGACATCACTGCCACCATTGAGCAGCAGCTGCAAATCATCCATCGTGTGCGCAACTTTGGTGGCAAGGGTCAAGGTCGACGAGAGTTCCCCTCCAAAAGGCTGTGAAGCTGTGTCCTCACTGAACCCCCAGTACCAACCTCAGGGTCCTCCAGTGTTCTGAGCCAACTCCTGCCACCCTTCCCTACCAGTGATCTGGTGTCTTGAGCAACACCTGTCACAGCTGCCTTTCATAGGGTTCCACTTTCCAGACACACTCTGGGACCCAGAATTCTTTCTGTCTGTGGCCTTGGGGTAGGTGACAATCCCTCTATTTGATCATTTCCATCTGGAATCTCCATTTATGGACTGACCACGTCTATCAAGGAGTAATCGATTCTGCCAGTGAGGATTATTGTGTTTGGAGTGAATCACCTCTAACTCTCCACTTCTCTTGGCGTTTGTTTCTTTTTTCATAAAACCCAATTGGATACACACAAGTCTGTGCCTGATGCTGCCTGGTGTACACTGGGCTTCTTGTAGCCTCTGTGAGGTTCTGTGAGCAGAGTGCAGGTTCCAATTGGGGAGCACACCGGGTTTGCCTAGAATGTGGCCCAAGCAGTAGGAGTTCAGGTTTCGCAGGTAACATGAAGAAACCTACTAGGAATACTCATGCAGTCAGGTGCAAAGTGACCTTTCTGTTGAGAGTCTTGGGGAAGGGGCTGTCATCTTACTGTTACTTCCTGAAGCTGAGAGTCTGGGGCATCCTGGGCCCTCTCTTCAGGCTTGAAAGTTCAGCTAACAAGAAATCGGTCCCAGCCAGGCATAGTGGTTTACAGGTATAATCCTGGCTCTCAGGAAGCTAAGGCAGGAGGACCAGCATGGGCTGAGATAGAAATCCTGTCTCAAGATACAAAAATGAGCCGGGTGGTGGTGGCCACAGCTCACACCTTTAAACCCAGCACTTGGGAGGCAGAGGCAGGTGGATCTCTCTGAGTTCACTGGCCTACAGAGTGAGTTCTAGGATAGCCAGGGCTACACAGAGAAACCCTGTCTTGGGGAAAAAAACAACAACAAAAACCAAAAACAGGCCAGTTGTGGTGGTGCACACCAGTAGGATTTGCGGAGGGAGGCTAAGGCAGGAGGGTCATGAGTTCGAGTTCAGCCTGGGCTATACATCGCAGCACTCGGGAGGCAGAGGCAGGCAGATCTCTGAGTTTGAGGCCAGCCTAGTCTACAGAGTGAGTTCCAGGACAGCCAGGGCTACACAGAGAAACCCTGTCTTTGAAAAACCAAAACAAAACAGTTCAGGAAGAAAGAAAATGGTCCAAGGAAGTAAAACAGGGAGACAGAAAAGGAACCCGTGCAAGGATCTTGAGGTAGGAAAGCTTGGGGTGAATAGCAGTTCTGTGTGTCTAGATGAGAAGGGCAGGTGGGCAGAGCTGTGAGAGATGGGTAAGTGACCTGAGGCTGTGGGCAAGGAGGGCTGGTTGTCCTTGAGAGGAGGCTTTGCTGGAGATTGAACCCAGGGCCTATGTTAAGCATAGTCCTACCAGCTGAATACACCGCAGGGCCTGGTTCCAATTTCTAAGACCCTGCCCCCAGGAAAAAAAAAAGAAAAAAAGTAGAATTTGTTTTCTTTAACCCACTCTACCTTCTGTTTTGCCCACCTCAGAAATTTAATTGTGTTACCAATCCCCTTATTTTCTTAATTTGGATCCTAAGGGCTTCCCTACCCTGGCAGGGAGTCTCATTTGGGGGTCATCTAATTAGCATGCCATCCACTGAGATTCTGTGGTTGATATCAACCTTCAAAGGTTGCTCCCTGACCAGAAGACCCCCCTTCATCAGTCACTCCTGACTCAAATGTTAGGCTTTTTTTTTTTTTTTTTTTTAATTTTTTTTTTTGAGACAAGGTCTCACTATGTAGCCCTGGCTGTCATGGAACTTGACATGTAGACCAGGCTGGCCTCAGACTCAACTCCACCTGCCTCTGCCTCTTGAGTGCTGAGATCAAAGGCATGCATCATGTGTGTATGAGTGTTCTGCCTACATGTGTGTACAGGCACCGTGTGTATAACTGGTGTCCTTAGAGGTCAGAAGAAGGCATTGGCTACCCTGGAACTGGAATCGTGGATAGTTGTGATCCCATCATGTAGGCACTGGCAACTGAATCTGGGTCCTGTGCAAGAACAACCTTAACTGCTGAGCCGTCTCTCCAGCACAGAATTTTTTTTTCTTTGTTATGTTTTTGTTTTTACGAGACCGTTTGTGTTAGCGCTGGCTGTCTTGGAACTTGCTCTGCAGACCAAGCTGGCCTCAACTCAAGAGATCTACCCTTGGAGTCTGCCTGGCTCCTTTCTTTCAAAGACAAGAGTTTCTCTTTGTAGCCCTGGCTGAACTGGCATTCACGTGGATCAGACTGACCTCCAACTCACTGCTTCTGCCTCTGAAGTGCTGGGATTAAAGATGAGATCCACTACACCCAGCACTGTTAGGGTTTTGTTTGTTTTTTGAGATAGGGTCTCAAGTGTACTAGCCTGGCCTTGAACTCTTGGTCTTCCTGCTTCCACCTCCCAAGTGCTGGTATCCCAGGAGTATACCACTGCAGCCAGCTTAGATGTCAGGTTCTTTTCTGTTTTCCTCAGGTCCTGTTAGGCCCAAGAAGTTCTTGGATCTTAGATCAGTTAGGTCAAATGCAGCCCACAGCTCCGGAGTTACATCTCTCTGGAGAGTCTTGTTGCCTCACAGAGGGCAGTGAGCTAGCTCCTGTCTCCGAGCAGCTCCTGAGTCCCCGCTGCTTGCTCGCTCTCCCTCCCCTCGCCTGTCTATCAGTCTCTACACACACACCAGTCTCAGGTTCCCACATCCACTTGTTTCTCCATAGAAATTCTTTCCATTCCTTCTTGAAGGCTGGGCTTTTGGAATTCAGAAACTAAAAATAGTCTCTGCATTCTGTTGTGTCTTCTATTCCCTGAGGTAACAAATGGGGAGTGACCTAGTTGTGAACAAGAGGGACCCAGGAACACCAAGGAAAAGATGGCTGTGTGTTTCAAGATGGCATTGGGGTCTAGAATGCCATGGCATTTGCTCAAGCTTTCACATCTACCCTTCCTGCAGCCAAAGTGTGTGTGTGGGGGGGTCTCAATGATGGCAGAACCCCCAAGCACTCTGAATGCTCAAGCAGCATTGTTCATATCCATCTCTCATTCTTGGAGAGAATTTGTGGGGGAGGGGGCTGCTGTATGTAGGGAGTAGCCCACTGAAGCTCTGAGAGCTAGATGGGCATGTAGCTTACGTGTTGGCTCACGCCTGAGACGTCCAGGGGACATTGATATTTCTACCTCTCGGCTTGGCTCGGCAGATGGGACTTAAACCAGTCCAATGAGCTCTAGTCAGGCAACTCTGGCTGAAGGGCCAACAAGGATACCCAGGACCCTTGAAGTTTTCATGAATGTTCCAGAAGGACCTAGAGATACAGTACAGTATGTGAAGAGTGATGAAAGCAGCTTAGACTCTGCAAGGGGGTAGAATTATACCAACAGCAAGGTGGGCATGCTCACTAGCTAGTTCTGACCACCCACTTAATGGCTATGATATAAGGCTGTGTAAGTGACCAGCTGGGGGTGGTGGCATGCCTTTGGTCCTAGTGTTCAGAGGCAGAGGCAGGTGGATTTTGAGTTCAAGGCCAGCCTGGTCTGCTTATACAGTGAGTTCTAGGCCAGAGATACATAGTAAGACCCTGTCTCCAAAGTTGGGGTGGGGGCAGGAGGAAAGGTGTTATCATTGAAAAGGATAAAATGACCTTTGGAGGTAAGAACAGTTAAAAGTCTTGAAAGGTGGGAAGGCTAAGAACCATGGGCCCACTCCATTATGTCATGGCTGAAGAAATAGGCTCAGAGGGAGGAGACTCTTTCCCCAGCCTGTGGTCGGGTTAAATCAGTGCTGCAGAATGGTGGTCAGAAGTAGTCACGGCTGCTATGCCCTGTGTTGGGAGCTTGGTGAGCTCCACAGGGACAAAGCTGCAGTCTCACCCTGGGTATTAGCAGCCTCATCAGACAGATGTACAAAACGATGTGCTCAAGGTGGACAACAGAGTGGGGGTTTGAAATCAGGCCTGCCTAGTACCAGAGTCCATAAAATTCTGTGTTTGTTTTTAACACACTGTCTCATGTAGCATAAGCTGGCCTTGACTTTACTGTGGTGCAGGCCTAGAATCCAGGCGGATAGGCAGATTAAGGCAGGATACAAGTTCAAGGCCAGCTAGTACCATAGACTGAATGGAGGGGCCAGCGTGAGCAACTTACTGAGACTCTGTCTCAAAAACAAAAGCACTGGAGATAAAGCTCAGTGGTGAAGTATCTATATACCACGGAAGAGACCATAGGTTCAGTCCTAAGCACCAAAAAAAGCAAAACCAAAAAAACACCAAACCTTGCCATACTCAGGGCTTGGAACCCGGACACAGAGAAGTTAAAAACCAGCCACTAAGGAGAGCTGGGGTTCTGAAGCCTGAAGAAGCTCCTGGGGGTGAGGTCTTCTCCCCTCCTCCTGCGACAGTCCAATCTGCCTGTACCTCGTCAAGAAGCCATTCTGAACTGTTATGACAGGTGTCCCTGTGTTATGGCAGCACCATCTGCCAGGGAACTGGAGTAGACAAGCCAGCAGGAAACTGTCACCACACATGCATGTCCCAGAGATCCTGGAGTTGGTGTCCTGATGACAGTTTCTTTTAATCTCCTCTGGCTGGCACATTTAGTTTCTATTCCTTATCCTCCTTCCCTCCTCTGCTTTGTTAAAAATCCTATATTTCAAGTCGGCTGAGAGTCTATAGGGAGTGGGGACTGACGGTGGTGTCTGCACCCAGTGTTCATCTTACTGATAATCTGGAAAAGCCAAAACCCATTCCTGTCAGAGTTTTCCCCCTTTGTCAGAGAGAGAAGCAGAGTGGGCCTGGCTTCTGGATGCCTGCCTTTGGGTCATGCGCCTCACAGAGGCTCCCTGACTGAGATCAGTGGGCATTTATTGGGTGTGGTGGGCTGATCTGAAATTTATTGGGTCCTCACAGAGATGGTTATCTCCATTTGCACAGCCAGGGTTTGCACTTAGTTACCTAGCTTGTAAGTGATAAAAACAACATCGATTCAAACTCTTGCCTTTTTGGAATCCACCAAACTTTCTTCAAACCACAACCCAACCATTATTGGCTGAGTGTCATTGCAAAGGTCACTCCCCTGGGAGCACTAGCTTCCACAACTGTAAACTGGTTTCTAAAGTGCTTCACCTTGCATAAGAAACAACCTTGGAGCTGGGCGGTGCTGGCGCAAGCCTTTAATCCCAGCACTTGGGAGGCAGAGGCAGGCAGATCTTTGTGAGCTCGAGGCCAGCCTGGGCTACCGAGTTTGTTCCAGGAAAGGTGCAAAGCTACACAGAGGGGAAAAAAAAAAAGGAAACGACCTTGGGAGCTGTTCTGACTACTGTTGTTATTCAGCCTTATCCA